AGTTCTCGGCGGACACAACATCTTTGTTGGTATGTGGTGCTGAGGATCGAACCCGGGCCGCACGCATGCCAGGCAAGCGCGCTACCGCTTGAGCCACATCCCCAGCCCAATCCATGGGGTTTTGACTTTAGTAGTAAAATATAATCTAGATAGAAGGCTCATTTCTCTAATTTAACAATTGAATTAGTTTCTGTGGGCTTGGTTTAGAAACCTGGTAAAAACCATGAAACTAAAGATAAGTCATTTTATATATATACTGAGCACTGATTTTATGATGTGTACAACAGTAAACAGAAAGAATTGATTGGGGGTGAGCTCGGTGACACAGGCCTGCAATTCCAGCTGCTCAGGAGCCTGAGGCAAGAGGATCGTGAGTTCAAATCCAGCCTCAGCAAAGTGAGGTTCTAAGCAACTCAGTGACACCTTGTCTCTAATTCAAAAAGGGCTGGGGATGTGGATCAGGAGTTGAGTGGCCCTGAGTTCAATCCCTGGTATCCCCCCCACCCCCGCCAAAAAAAAAAAAAAAAAAAAAAAAGAAAGAAAGAAAGAATTGATGGGAAGCAATTTTCTTTTTTGTGATACTTACACTGATACCTCCGGTTAGTTCTGCTTCCTCACATGTTGAAGTATAACATTAGAAAAGCATTCTGAGGCAAGCATATAAAATAGAGTTTATTTAAAAAGGGGTAACATAGACTTCTACTGGGAGGGAGAAGGGGGCCATACCTGGTATCCTGGTATCCTGGTATCCCCAGAAGTGAGGGCGGTCTGCTTTTTATATGTCCTAGGATTCCTTTGTTCTCCTATGCTCTTCCCCTTATCTTTCTCCTTCCTGCATACATGACTAGGCCCCAGAAATGCTGGGTGGGATGCCCAAAAGGTGGGAAACAGGTGGGCTGGAGGGCCCAGGGCCAATTAATTATCAATTTCCTGTCTGCTCTGGAGTTGCTTCATTAAGAATTTTTAAAAAATATTATTTTTAAGTGGTAGTTGTCAATACCTTTATTTTTTTATGTGGTGCTGAGATTCAAACCCAGGGCCTCGCACATGCTAGGCGAGTGCTCTACAACCGAGCCACAACCCCAGCCCCACATTATTAACAATTCTTTAGGATGGGCTGCACAGGCCAGGCTTTGGGGACATTAACATTTCAATCTCCCAGGTGTAGTTTCAGATTTCCTGGACTCAAATAGGACTCCATTTCCCCATCAGACCTAATTTACCTACCTACACTAACTACCTGTCTTTAAAGCTAGCTTCAACGCTTACTCAGTAAGTAATCTACTGCTAAGCTACAGCTTCAGCCCTTTTTATTTTCAAAGAGGGGGTCTGGCTAAATGACCCAGGTTGGCCTTCAATTTGAGATGCTCCCGTATCAGCCTCCCTAGTAGCTGGGGTTAGAGTGGGAAAAAAAAGGTGGGGTTCAGGGCATGGAAGCAGCATTAAGATATTTATGCCTCATTGATTAAAAAGCAGGTGCTACTTTTGTATTGTGGCAAGGGCAATGGAAACGACAAATCTAGAATAAGACCCACCTAGGATATTGGGTTACCAGGAATTAAGTCACAGCACTTTCCAAATAATCTGAAAATGAAATGGGGTAGACTTTTTCTATTCTTGCCCAAGAAGTACAGGGTCTGCCAATTGCCTAAAGTAAATTGATTAATTCTAGCATTTACTCCTAGTTTGCTGGGTATCTGAACAGGTAAAGGACTGGTGGAAGGTGAAGGTAGTTGAAACAGCTCCCAAAACATAAGGCAGTCCAGGTGCAGGGGCCGCCCCCTGTCATCCCAGCCACTCAGGAGGCCGAGGCAGAAGGATCTCAAATTCAAAGCCAATTTGAGCAACTCCATGAGGCCCTAAGCAACTTACCGAGACCCTGTCTCAAAATAAAACATGGAAAGGGCTGGGGACCTGGCCCTGTGATGAAGAGTCCCTGGGTTCTGTCCTTGGTACCAAAGGAGGTGGTGGTGGTGGGGCAATTTGCACAAAGCCCGGGCAGACTTAGATTTGTTTGATACTTTTACTACGAAGTTCCTGAGAGAACCCATTTTTCAAATCGGTATACTTGGCAGTGTACCCAGCTACTTGAATGACCAAAATAAGTTAGTGATGAGTCCAGGGTTTAAGTTTTCCATTAAGGTAGCTGAAGAAGGACTTTAGATAGAGGCAACAAGATTTGGATCTATCTTAAAGACTACAGCAAAATCCATATTTCGGGCCTTTAGAAATAAAGATGTGAAATTAACGGCGCTTTAAACAAAAAAATAAAGTTAAAATGTTTTTTATTTTTTCACGGTAAATGAATAATGCAAATGAAAAGTACTGTCCTTGATTGGACTTAACATAGGATAGATGAAAATAAAGCGGGTCAAAGAAAGAGCATTCGCAGCACCCTAACCCTATCCCAGATGGCAGCCCAGCCGACTCGCAGCCCAGTAGCCAGGATCACCTCTACACTCCTCCAGGGTCCTAGCTTCGGCCCCGCCTCCATCCTGTTTGGCTCCGCCCATTTCGTCTGCGCCGCGACTTGGCTCGACGTTTTTACCTTCGTCCGGAAAAACTGAGGCGGGACTTCCGTCATTTGAAAAACTTCCGGCGGGAACCGGAAGATATAGTAGCACAGAATCCCCGGTCTTCCGACACGCCGGGCGGGAAGGTGAGCTGTGCGTCTTCCTCAGCGGCAGTTCTTTGGGCTCCCAAGAGCCGGCGTCCGGGCTCCGGCATTTTCGAGGTCACTTAAAAAGTTCCAAGCGCCCATTTGGGAACTAACACTTCCCCTATTTTTTTTTTAAAGTGAGAGGTTCATTACATTTTACTGTATCTCATAACCTATACCCGGAGAATCTCCTAGCTGCTGCGTGTCACCTGGCGCGTCTTCTAATTCCAGCTCAGAGGGGCAAACATGGGAAAGCTCGGGCACACTTAGATTGTTTTATACCTCGAAGGTGAGGGAGGAAGCACCCTTTCACTATCAGATCGTGGCCCTGTCTGCATTAGCTGCATTTTCAGCAGTGTGCTGGGCATCTAGGAGGCGCTTGAATAACTTAGGGAAGATGAACGGGAACTCCAGGCAACTTTATCCTCGAGCCTCCCACGTTTCAGCATGTCATTAATGTAATTTTTATGAAATGGGAAACAAGACTAGTCTTGCTGTTTGGGCGCTGGTTTCTAGTCCTTTGCCATGTATTTTTTTGAGTAACCCATTTCACCTTCTCTAGCGTCAGGATTCTCATTGATTTTTTTAAAAAATGGCAGTATGGCAGGGTTGTCTGATCCCAGAGGTACTTTCTAACTCGAATTTTGTTTTTGTGACTTGGGTATTTATGTTAACATTTGAAGCCCTTCTGTTGGTTTCCTCTGGGGAACTTCTTTAGGTGCCTTTAAAGAAAGTATACCTTCTCATCTCCTTGAATTTTAGTGTTTTCCCTCCTATTTTAAGATTCATTTATAGGTCCTTTTGCCCCTTGTTTCCACTTTCCACTTGCCCTAGTTTGGTGCCTCCTCCCTTAGTAACATCACAGCAACCTACTAATTATTGGTTTGGAATATGTTCGTGTGCCCAAAGAGATAAGATAACTTGGAAGAGGGAAAATCCTAGATCGCTGAAGAATAGAAATGTTCTCAATGTGCCTTTTCAAGACAGCAGTGAATGCCAAATATTGCATTGCCTAATAAGGATAGAAAGTAAATTCATATTTCTCTTTAGAGCCCATATTTGTATATATTCTTACGTTTATTTAATGAATAGTTATAGAGAAATCAGTAAGTGCTAGGCTCAGTGTGATATGAAAGTAAGACAAATGTTTCCTTCCTTCATGTTCTTCACTATATTAATAAAATAGTAAAACAAAATAATTTTAGATTATGCTATATATTGCTGTATAAAAGAAATAAATAGGGCTTTAAAAAAGACAATGTAACTGAGAAGCTCATAGTATGCCTAAGATAATGAGAGGATCCACACATTTGATGAGCAGAAAAAGTAGAGTGACCCTGAGTTGGGAAAGAATTATGCTTGTTAGAGGGAATGAAAGAATGTGACTGGAGTTTAGGAGCTACAACAAATGGTAAATATGATTAGGAAGGGAAGCAGGAGATTGGATTCTGAGTGAAGGATGAGATAGGAAGTCATTAAGTGTTTTTTAAAACATTTTCAAATCATGACTTAGGATGATATGTGAAGAATGGGTTGTAAGGACAAGAGCATGGAAGCCAGAAGGGTGGTTGGGGAGAGTGCCATAGGGCAGGTGAGAGATGTGATACTATAGTTTGAATGTATCCCCCCAGAGTTCACATGTTGAACACTTAATATGCAATTCATATATTGATAGAATTTGGAGGTAGGGTCTTTGGGAGGTAATTTGGGTTAGATGAGATTATGAGGCTGGAACCCTCATGATGGGATCGGTGACATTATAAAAGAGGGAGGGAAATCTGAATTGGAAAGCTCTCTTTTTTCTGGAAAGCTCTTTCTCTAGTGTGTGATGCCTTCTGCCAGGATATGACTCAGGAAGAAGGCCGAGGGCTGGGGTTGTGGCTCAGTGGTGGAACTCTTGCCTAGAAACTGTGAGGCACTGGGTTTGATCCCCAGTACTGCATAAAATAAATAAATAAAATAAAGGTATTGTGTCCATCTACAACTCTTAAAAAAAAAAAAGGTCAACTTCACAACCACTAGTCTGTAGTTATTCTGAAATAACAACAGGAAACAGACTCAAGAACCAAATATCCACTGAAGATTGTAGAGATATATTTTGGAGAAAAAAATTATGTGACTTGCTAATAAACTGGATATAAGAGATGGAAGAGAAAAAAATTTCACAGTGTTTTGGCTTAACAAATGATGGATATGTTCATTGTCTTGATTGTGGTGATGTGTATACATATGTCAAAATTTACCAGATTTGAACCTTTTAAAAGTATTCAGTGTACTGAATGTCATTTGCACCTTAGTGAAGCTGTAAGAAAAATTCCAAGTTCTGGCTCAGCAAATAGATGGATTCTGATGCTGTTTTCTGAGATGGGAAGGACTTTGGTAGAAATGTGTTTTAGGGCAGGGAATGGTTATCAAGCTTTCTGTTCTGTTTTTTTTTTTAAAAATTTTAGTTAACTATGAGACATCTAAATAGTTTCAGAGGCAAGAATTTTATTATGTAAATCAGAATTTTAAAGGCAAGGTTTGGGAAGGAGGAATTAGGATTGTTTAGTAGGTGATATAGGTACAGTCATGTGCTGAATAACAGTAATGTTGGTGATAGATGCCAGTGATGGATGTATATATGCTTGAAGGTGATCCAAGAAGATTGTATCACCTGATGATGTCATAGCTGTAGTTTGTGAAATTACACTATGATGTTTGCATGATGATAAAATTCCCTAATGATGCATTTCTCAGAATGTGTCCCTATTGTTAAGTGATACTTGACTGAACTGAAAACATGGAAATGGCTGGGTGTACCTGAAATCCTAGTAACTTGGGAGGCTGAGGCAGGAGGATTGCAAGTTCGAGGCTAACCTCAACAACTTAATGAGATGGTGTCTCAAAAAACAAACAATAAAAGGACTGGGAATGTAGCTCAGTGGTAAAGCACCCCTGGGTTCAATCTCCAGTACTAAAACCCAAAAACAACAAAACAAAACAATTGAAGAAAAAACCCCAAACATGGAAATGGGTGCCATAATAATTTTTATGATATGAAGAGGACGTGATAGGAGTAGAAGTGGAGAAACAGGCCCTTTAAGGACATTGGTCTTTAAACTGGAGCAAACACACCTCTGGGAGTATAACTGGCATGAATAATTTGTAATAAATGATTTCTAGGTCTCAGCTTCTGTATATAATACTTTCTAAAATGGATCTGCTTGTAATTAGCCTCTGTGCTCATACAGAGTCTCCTTTTCTATCTCCCTTTTTACAGTCATTTTTTCCCACCAATGAAAAGAAATGTTTCCATTTTACCCACCTTTCTATGTGCATTGTGTCTAGGGTATCTAATAAAGGGATAGTTGGAAATATTAGTTTCAGGGAAGCCTTCTTTAAGACTAGTTGTTAATCAAACTTAAGCCTGCCAATGTTTTTTTTTTTGGGGGGGGGTGGGAGTCTTGAACTCAGCAACATCTTCAGTCCTTTTTATTTTTTGTTTTGAAACAGGATCTCAGTAAGTTGCTGAGGGGCTTGCTAAGTTGTAAAAGCTGGTTGCAAATTTGCAGTCCTCCTGTCTCAGCCTCCCACACTGGGAGGGATTACAAGCATGCACCACCATGCCCAGTTTGTCTTTCCCTATTTTAAATGCATTTCTGTTAAGGTTAAAATGTGGAGATAGAATTGGTATATGATGGTCTGTGTGGTATAGTAGCTCCCTCATCCTTAGAAAATACATGTCTAGATCCCAAGTGGATACTTGATATCGATATCTCAAATAGTACTGAACCCTGGATATATGCCATGTGTTTTTTCTATACTACTTATGATAGTTAATTTTTAAATAAGGCATAGTAAGATATTAATAATAACTAATAGTAAAATAGAATAATTATAACAATATATTGTGATAAAATTGCCAGCATTGCTACTCTTGTGCTTTGGGGCTATTAAATAAAATTAGGGTTCCATGAACACAAGCATTGTGATCTTATGACAGTCCATCTAATAACCAAGATGACTGCTAAGTGATTAATGGGTGTGGGTAGTTTATACAATATGGATGTGCTGGACAAAGGGATGAGTCATGTCCTTAAAGAGTAAGGTGGAGATTTAATTACATTACTTGGGACAGTATGCAGTTTAAAACATAAGGATTATTCATTTTTGGAATTTTCTGTTTAACATTTTTGGATTGCAGTTGACTGAGGTAACAAACTGTAGAAATCAAAACCCTGGATAAAGGAGGAACTACTTTACATTGTAGATTGGGGTGATAGGAATGGTTATAAGGTGATCTGGGTGGGTTGTTTGATGAAGAGCATAGAACCTACAGTTTTTCACTTTGGGTGTGGTCAGATCCTCCTGAAGAAAGCCTTTCCATTGTTTGCCCTTAGAGGGCAAGGATCTGACTGGTGGCATTCTGGGTTCCTAGTGGAAGAAGAGTACTGGAGGATTCTGCATTTAGCATACAGTCTCTATGGTTCACATGTACGTAGTTGCACTTGGTATACTTTAGTCTGGAGATTCTAGTTTACCTTCTCTGGAAATTAAACTAGACCTTTTCCTAGGGCAGTTGTCTACTGGCATGTTGGGTAGGGAACCTAGATATATAACCTTGTGTCAGATAGCTTATACTGAACCTCCTCATCCTTGTTCTCAAAGGTGTCAGCACTGCTTCTGGAATTTTGAGTCATGCCCAGGAAAAGCTGTGTTTCCTTACACCTACTCAAGATTATGAATAGTTATCTTTGTTTTTTGTAGCACTTTTGTAGTTTTATTTTGTGTGTTTTAAATAATTAGTCATTGTGGAATATATTTTTGTTCATAGTGTGGAGGTGGGAATTAAACACTTGTTTTTCTCAGAGGAATACCTGATTGTCTCAATACTGATTAATCTGTTTTTGCCCTGCCCTGATTTGAATTGCCACCCCTGTCAAAACTAACTTCCTCTGTTTTATTTTATTTTATATTTTTGGTGTTGTGAATCAAACCTAGGGCTTGTGCATGCAAGGCAAGCACTCTGAACTTTAGCCCCAGCTTGTTTTATTTTATTTTTATTCTGGTAAATTACATATAATCCAGAAATCAGAGTTACCTGTTATGTTGTGATGAACAATATTTAGAACTACTCATTTAAGGAAGGATTACCTGCATAACCATATTCTAAAAGAATGTGAAGGCAAAGATGGGAGGGTTTTTTTTTGTCTACTTCCTTGGGACTGTTTTCCTTCCTGATTTCCTCTGAGTGCTGTTCTTTCTATACTTACTGGACAGATATGAGCTATTTCTGCTGGGGGAACATGTTCCCATTTGTGACAATTCTCCACCAGAGGCACTATAATATATGACTGGTTTAGGACCTTAAACATATCAGAGTTTAAGGGTTCTAAACATATCAGAGTCTAATGTACTTTTTTATGTTCTGACACACGATCTTTAGGAAATAAATTTTGCAGCTTCAGTAAATTTATTTCCTGTATTTTGTGATGCCTCTTGCTATCTGTCTGGATATTTTTCTATAGATGAGCCTTTGAATCTGGTAAATATTTTTAGTGGCATAGTGATTAATCATTTTATCTAAGTATGAACTATTATTATAAGAAATGCCTGTCTTGTTTTAGGAATAACCTGACTGCTTTTTCAGTTAATCAATACCATTTGACTGCCACCTTTGTAGAGGCACCTCTATTGTATACTGTAAGAAGTTACAGAAGAGAGGAAAATATTTCTTGTCTTTGAGATATAGTTTAACATAAGATTTTATAATTTGATGGCTGATAGTATTACTAATAATATTTGCAGAATACCCACCCTTATTTGCAGAATACCTTATTTTTCAGAAGGTAGCCCACACTCATAAAGTGTTTGAATCCTTTGCAAAGGTGTTTGGAGCTCTTTTAATTGGCTGCTACTTAGAGGGGAAAACCAGTGTTTGGCTTATGAATAAGCCTTCTGTTTTTTCCTATGGCATTTTTAAGCAGCAGAGCTATTGGAATGTTATTTTCAAATGGCACATCATTTTGTAACTGAATGACCGTGATCAGACTATTCAAGTTATGCTGATTTTATGTTTGATTCTTCCAGATGTCATCGTTGCCAAGAAGAGCAAAAATACAGGTCCAGACTGCAGTATCCAAAGATGAATTTGCTTGCTTCTCGGAGTTGTAAGCCTCTTTGTTTAATATGATAGTGGGGGAATGAAACATATTTTAAGGAGTAATGCGTTTGTCTCTTACAGACATGTTAAGTCATTTGGGTGGAAGAAAGCTGTATCTTTTACATTCATTCATACAACAGTATTTCTTGAACTCATGCTGTGATCCAGCCTTTAATGTTGGTGATAAAGTGTTAAATAAGGAGAGAGAAAGTAACTAATTAAATACATAACATAGTATTTACACTGGAATGTAAACTCCATGAGCATAGGGAGTACTTTATATTATATTAGAGCAGAGTTTCTCAACCTGTGCCCTATTGACATTGTATGCAGAATAATTCTTTGTTGTGGGGCCTGTCTTTGGCCTTGTAGGATGTTTAGTTGCATCCCTGACTGCTACCCAATAAGCACCCCTCCCACCATTGTGACAATAAAAAATGTCTTTAGATAGTGCCAGGTTTGTGTATTTGTAAATTGTCCCCAGTTGAGAATCTTTGCTGTACAGTGTCATGTTAAGTACTCTTAAGATATTTGTTAAAGAAATAAGTGATTAATGTTAGGTCATAATAGGTACTGTAAAAAAAATAAAGCAGAGCAAGGGATAGAGAACACAGTGATACTAGTGGAAGGGCATTTTAGATATTCAGGGAGTTCTTTGGTAGATGTGCTGGAATCTAATAAAAATCTGGGAGTTGGCTGTGATTTAAATGTGTTCCCCAAAGGTCCACTTGTAAAGGCTTAGTCTCTAGGTGGTAGTGGTTTTGAGAGTTGGTGGGACCTTTAAGAGGTGAGACCCTGTGAGAGGTCCTTAGTTCATTGGAAGTATGCCTTCCAGGGGGATTGTGAGGCTCTGCTCTGTATCTTTTTGTTTTTGCATTGAGATATGAATACTGTCTCTAATATGTGTTCCTGCCTTTGCCATCTGTTGCCTTAATCAGAGGCTCAAACAAATGGGGCTGCCTTATCTTGGACTTGAACCTCCGAAACTCAGATAAATAAACAATTTCTCTGTAAGTTAGTTGTTCAGGTATTTTATTGTATCTTACAGAGGAGAGAAATTGTATGGAATGTTCTCAAGGATTAGAATTCCAAATAGAGCAACACATCATTTCTGAGATAGAAATGATTTTGATGTGTTCAGAGAACAGCAAAAAAAAAAACCAGTATGGCCAGTTCATAGTCATCAGACAGAGAGAAGTAGAAAATGAGATTGGAATGAGTAGGATATAAGGGGCTATGTCAGGGTACTAGAATTTTATTTGATGTGGTTTGGGAAGCCACTGGAGGTTTGTGGATAGGGATATGAGCTGATCTGATTTACATTTTTAAAATATCATTTTGGGTTTCTTGGCGGAGAACAGACTATATGGGGGCAAGAATAGAAGTGGGGGGATAAGTTAAGATTATTATAGAAGCCAAGAAATGAAAATGGTAGGAAATGGCCTAATTTGGGATACATTTTGAAGGTAAAGGAGATAGGACATGGTGATGGATTAATTAAATTTGAGTATGAAGGAAAGACAGATGTTTTTGGAATAATGGAAGAGGTATAGTGTAAGTGTGGTGAAATTGGAGTCCTATTTTGGATTTGGTAAATTTCAAATGATTGTCAGGCATCCCTGTGAAAGTGGATATGCAAGTCTTGAGCTCAGGAGAAGGTCGTTTTGGAGATATGAAATTGAAATTCCTGTACTGACCCATATGACAAGATGACAAGATACATGAGCTAGCAAGAGAGCATGGAGAGAGGAGGAAGAGGACTGAGGACTTATCTCCCTCAGGAGATTCCAACCTTTGAAGGGGAAGGAGGTGGAAGTAAGAGAAATTAAGGGGAAACTTTAGAGAAGGAGGAACACTAAAGGATTATGACTCCCTGAAGGCATGTGGAAGATGTTCTCTGAGGGTGAGTGTCTGATGCTGCTGAGGACAGGTGTTATAGGGAATGGGAGTTGACTTAGCTGACTCAGAACTGCTTCATGTGTAACAAAATGGTATCAGTGTTTGAGTAGGCAGTGTTTGCGTTTTCTTCCTAATAACAAAAATCCCTTTACTTTTGGCAATATTGCCATGTGAAATAGTATTGGTCTGCACTCCTGCTCAGCAGGTGATGAGACTAAGGTGGAAAGGTATCATCTTGCTCAATTTGGTAGTAAGAGGAAACCCTGGTTTTCTAATTCCTTGATTTTCTAATTCTAGTTCCTTTTAAATCCACTGCTATTATGTTCTAATGATTTCGTGTGTTTTTTGCTTAGTCACAGGCTTAGAATCTACCTCTGCAGAGAACTCAACTTTGAGGATATTATTTGTTCATCCCATCATGATTGTGCTCTCCTGTAGCATAATTTAACTAAGAAGTCATTCAGTCAGGCTTTTGCTGCCAAGTGGAATTTAACCAATCGAAAACCCTGACATCTCTATTCACTAGTCTCTTTGGGGTGAATCCTTTACCCCAAAACCGATCGAACTGACTTGATAGGAGCATGATGTTCCCTCAACAGAATTCACTGGCTACTTTCTTTCTGCTCGTGCTCTGAGTATTATAATGCTTGGTTTTCAAAAAGTATGATAACTGCACTTGATCCAATGTAGTCAAGATCTGTGAGAGGAAAAGAAGGGTTAATAAAAACAACTGGACAGGCCTTGGTGCTGACTTTTTATGTAATTAGGATGTTTCCTGGAGTCATTACTCACTTCTTTCATTGAATGAATAACAATACAATTTAAATAGATTTGATTAGCACTTAGGAACTTATTTAAGTGCTCTTCACTGTTAAAATTGAAAAGCTCACATTGATTATGTGTGACATGACTTAGTAAATTACTTAAGGTAATAAGTGATTTTCCGTGTCATGAAAGTGTGTGTGAACATGTTTGTTGATTAGGTGAGAGGAGAGTGGCAAGACCAGTGAATTACAGTGTATGATATGATATGGGGAAGATGTTTTTATACTCTAATCAACTCTGTTCCTTTAATTCTTAGCAATAATTGTTCACAGCTTATGCTCTTATCACTCCATTTTATCTGAATTTATCAGTTTTTTAAGAAGTATATGTCTGTTTTTTACCTTTGATATATTTTTTTCCCCCTGGAAATTCTTCTGTCAATTTACTGCTAGATCATCTGCCTCTGAAGAAGATGACAAGGAAGATAATGCCTGGGAGCCCCAAAAGAAAGTCTCCAGAAGCCGTAAGCAGCCAGCTCCCAAGAAAACCAGACCAAAAAGGGTACCTCGAGTGAAGAAGAACACCCCACTGATCAGTGATGGCTCAGGGGTTGTGGATGTTAAAGAGGAGCTGGTAGGTGCTGAACCTAGATAGGGGGAAGGCTGAAGTGTTTTCCTGATTTGGGATGTTACTTTCTGCTTACATAGAGTAGGACAAAATGCAAATGGAAAAAAAATGAAGGACAGTGGTGTCCTTGTCATGAGTCCTAATAGCATATATATATATACAGTATTTTATATGCACACATTTTTGTGGTGCTGGGGATAGAACTTAGGCCTTGTGCATGCTAAGCAAGCATTCTATTTCTAAGTTATACTCCCAGCCTTCTCTCTCTCTCTCTCTCTTTTTTTAAATTTTTTTTTGTTGTTGGTAGTCCTTTATTTTATTTATTTATACTCAATCCAGAGAATCGAACCCAGTACCTCACACATGCCAGGCAAGTGCGCTACCACTAAGCCACAACCCTAACCCCCTAACCTTCTCTTAATAATATTTATCATCAGAACCATTGTGTTTCTTCATCTGCTTTCTTTTTCCTCTCCTAGTAATAATGGCAATATTAGCAAATAATAATATTGTTAATGAAGCAATATGCTCAACATTGCACTCTTGCGATCTTTTTTTTTTTGGTAGGGGAAATTGAACCCAGGGGTGCTTAACCACTGAGCCACAAACCCATCTCCTTTTAAACAATATTTTATTTAGAGACAGGGCCTTGCTAAATTGCTGAAGCTGGCTTTGAACTTGTGATCCTCTTACTTCAGCCTCCTGAGCCTCTGGGATTATAGGTGTGTACCACTGCACCCAGCTCACTCTTATGATCTTAATCTTAGCAACAACTGTTGGCTAAGAGAGGTGCTGTTATTTCCAGATATTATAGGTAAAAAAGCTGAGGCAAGTGATTTTAAGTGACTTGCTCATAGTACATAGGTAGTATGTGATGGCACTGGTTTTCTAAGTCAGCATTTCAGGAACTCATCTATTTCTCATGAGTGTTTTCACATTAGCCATACTCAGGAGTGATGTATATAATTGGAGTGCTAGTTTAATAATTAACACTTTGAAATAATCACCACAGGGTTTTAAAATTCTGATAGCTAGCACTTTTTCTCCTTCTAGTCTGACCTAAGTTGGGCCATAAATAAGAATCCGAAATTTGCTTGATGAGCATGGACTCAGAATGGGAGACTTGACTGTTTATTGGGTTTACTGAAGGCTTCCTATGGTGGAGCCATTGTGCTTGTCACAGTGACAATTGAATGTTTTAATTGTGTGGAGCTAAGGTAGTCTGAAATATTCATCTCACAGCAGGATTCTCTTACCATTGGGACCAAAATACTTGATCTATTTGCTGAGCTTTCTTCTCTTTTGTACATTACTTATAAGAATGCTGATCATATATTTTTTTAATATTTATTTTTTAGTTGTAGGTGGACACACAATATCTTTATTTCATTTTTATGTGGTGCTGAGGATTGAACCCAGTGCCTCACGTGTGCTAGGCGAATGCTCTACCACTGAGCCTCAGCCCCAGCCCATGCTGATCATATTTGCTTTTTCCTTTTTCTGTTCCTTTGTGGCTGACAATTCCCTTTATAACTGATATGTTGGTTTTTTAGATGTAGCAATTCATTTAATTAGGTTATTATCAACTCTTACTGCTTCAGCATCATATTATCTTCATATCTCTTTTCTGAATCCATTGTGTTTAAGGGATTGAACCCAGGGCCTTATGCATGTTTGGCAAGTGGTCTATCACTGTGCGACATCCCCAGTCCTGCAATGTTTTTAATAGTCAATAACTCTGGAAAAATATTTGATAGAAGAGAAGATTGGGCATTGTTGTTTTTGTTTGTGCCATCTATGTTACTTAAATAACTGGAAACAAAGCTAGCATGTGAAACTGTAAGCTTCTTAAAGGCAGAATATATTTATTGCTCTATCCCCAGCACTAAGTGTCTGGTTTCCTTTCTTCACAGCTGAGCTGTCACATGGGGAGAGAAAGTGAGGGTGAAGTGAGTAGTCCCTGGATTCCTGTGTAGACTGCTGGATGGACTCTGATTAAAGAAAATGCCTGCTATTACCCTGCTGACATTCTGTTTTCTGTTCTCTCTCTTTTTGATTAAATAGATGGCACATGTAGCTTTTATGAGTGTCTTCTTTCTTTGTTGATTTTTGATTATAAGTTTTAATCTTTGTTTTCTGGCATGTATAGATTTATTTTTTAAAATTAAATTTTATTTTTAAACAATTCACATGTAGTAGTAAGAAATAACACAGAGGGATTCCATGTACCATTTATCCAGTTGTCCCCAATAGTAAACTCACTTATCTTACAAAATTTTAGTAAAATATTACAATCAGGATGTTGACATTAATAATTTAGATTCCTCTAGTTTTACTTATATTCATTTGTATGTATTTAGTTCTATGCAATTTTATCACATGCATAGGTTTTCATATTCATTATCACAAGGATCCCTAGTGTTGCCCTTTTATAGCCAAGCCCACCTCCTTCCTGCCTCCCCCACTCACATCTCTAACTCTTTGCAATCACTAATCTGTTCATGAGTGTTATATAAATATAATCTTGTAGTATGTAACTTTGAGGTTGGCTTTTTCCACACTCAACATGGTTCCCTTGAGAGTCTTCCAAGTTATTGTGTATATCAATAATTTGTTCCTTTTAATTTCTGAGTAGTATCCTAGGGAAATTGGTTTTTATTTAATTCTTATGTCTTCTCTTTGTGGCTTAATAGAATAGCTCTGTGGCAATTGCTGATGTTGATTTGGAAAAGGAAAAATACAAATTGGACACTGTACAGACTCTGAAAACAGCGAAGACAAAAAGGAAAAATTCAGCTCAAAGGACCAAAAAACTGAAAATTGAAGAAGAAATGAGCAAAGCCAGCAATTTAGAGGGTGGGACTAATAGTACAGAAATACCATCAACAAGCACCATGTGGGAAGGTGCATGCAAGAAGGAAGAGAGTGAAGATGACTTTACATTTGGTCAGTCTCCTTTAAAGAAAATCAAGACTGAAATGTGCCCTCAGGGGCAGCCTGTCAAGTTTCCAGCAAGTGCCAACAATATTAAGGAGGAAGTAGAAATGAACTGGGACATAGTTCAGGTAAGTGCAGCCATTTCTTATTACTTTAGTTGACTTAATTCCTTCTTTTTGAAATAGGGGTTGTGCTGGTTAAAAGAAGGGTTGGAGTTTTCAACTCCCTCCTCAGTATTGCCACTGATATCTGGATGCTTGGACCACTGGTTCTTTTCTAGAGCATGCTATTTTGTATTATGGCTTATCATCATCGTCAGTTCTTTGGTTCAGAGCTGTGAACTTCGTCAAGGTGGGTCTTTGCCATGGTGTTTTAATTGTGTTAATCAGTTTTCTGTTGCTATAACAGATTCCTGAGATGAACGAATTATAATAAGGAAAGGTTTATTTTGGCTTATGGGTTGAAGGTTTCAATTCATGGTTGATTGACCCCATTGCTTTTGGGCCTATGGCAGTATACCATAGCAAGAGCATATTTTTGGACAAGTTACTTACCTCATGGCCATCAGGAAGCAGAGAAAGAAAGAGGAAGGTCAGGGTCCCAAGATTCCATCTTGTGACCTAAGTGACTAAGTGACCTAAGATCCTCTACTAAGCCTCACTCTTAAAGGTTCTACCATCTCCCAGTGGTACTCAGCTAGGGACCAACCCTAAGACTTGGGCCTTTGGGGGATATTCCAAATCTAAACTATAGCAGACAGATACTATGTGGACAGATTATACCAACAGATTGAGACCTCAGAGATTCATTGCTTTATTTTTGCTTTGAAGTTGGACTATCTTTCACCATAAAATTAGTTCAGGTCATTAGGTCATTGGCGATTCATGCCTTTATTTAAACCTTAATGTATTGTAATGTACTATGAACAAGCCTAGCAATCTTCCAAAGGGAAATTTTTAAGAATTTAAACTTGAGATGCCAAAATGATATCTTTTACTACAGGGAAATAGGATTTCTTTCTTTGTTTTCCCTTTTTCAGGGGTGGGGGATTGGCTTTGGGATGAGTAGAAGGGTCCTAATGAGTAACTCATGAACAGTGATTCTTATCTTGTGTCTGATACCACACGTCTGGGACCATTTCAAGTAGAAATAGCCTTCAGGATGAGTCTAATATAGAACTATGACCCACAATTCAAAAGCATTATCTTTTAGGTTTAAATGAATAAAGCAAAAGAAGGCATAAGAAGGAGCCTAATTATAGTTTCTGCAAGATACCTTAGACTATTTAATTCAGGATGAGCTGTGAGGCTACATTCTATTCCTTAGTGAGCCAGAAAGAAAACAATCATGGTTAAAATTTACTGTTTGGGGCTGGGGATGTGGCTCAAGCGGTAGCGCACTTGCCTGGCATGCGTGTGGCCCGGGTTCGATCCTCAGCACCACATACAAACAAAGATGTTGTGTCCGCCGAAAACCAAAAAAAAAAATATTAAAAAAAAATTACTGTTGGCATTCTGTTTGTAAATAATAGAAAAGGCAGTGTTGGTAAAAAGACACTTCTCCAAAGGAAAAAAGAAACCCAAAAAAACAAAACATACAGTTCCAGACTGGAAGATAGTATTAAGATTGGGCACTTAATGAATATTTACATATTTTTTAGAATTTATTTTTAATCACTGCTGTAATACCTAAAAGTGTTTGTTTACAGATCTGTAATTGACAAGGGATAATATTTGCCATTTACTTGCAGATGTTTTATTATGGGATAGGCTAGGCTCCATACCAGACACTTTATTACTTTCTTTTATTTATTTATTATCATGATAGATTATTAGAAATAATGTATAATCTCAAAAATCAATTATAGCTAGGTTTAGAATAGACAAATATTTTTGCTTATATAATAAGGACTAAAGAGAAGTCATCTCAAAGTTAAAAATTACTGAGAATTAACTCAAAAGTGTTTGCAGAATTTAGTTTCTATAGGGTGTGTCCTTTCTCTAATAGGTGTGACTAAAGTTGATTATGAATTTCAATGTATTAAATACCATAATGTATTAAATCTAAAATTTGCTAACCTGGACTTTTTACTTTTTATTAGGGGAGATTACCTGGGTTCGCTCATGAGTTCTGTAATGTCAGTAAGATAGCAGCTAAACAAAGCTTTTTCGAAAATAAAAGAGAAAGGTGAGATTACTTGCTGAATAGAATGAGGAGGGGAACCTGTGTTGAGAGACAAGAGTCCAGCTGTCAGGGTAAGTGGCAGAAAACAGGCAGAAGGAGAAGGTTCATTTATAAACCATAGCAGCACTGTCCATTAATTGTGGGAACATCAAGTGGAAGAGCGTTATCTCATTTTTAAGACCCTAAAAGCATTTTACAGTCTTTGGTCTCCTTGGAAAACATACATACTCTAATCTTAACTTTTAGTTCAAGCAATTTTTCCCTCCTTCTCCTTATTGGAAGTGATTTTTGATGGCTGAATCCTGTTCTCAGGGAATCTGGGCAGTCTTTTCTGTGAGCTGGGAAAAGTGGTTGCTCACCTTAGCCGAGCAACTTGATGACAATTGTTAAGTCCAATGTTTTCCAGGTAAGCTTAAGGGAAATTGCCTGGGAAACTGTTAAGAATTTTTTACATGTTTGGGTTCTTTTCATTTAATCAAATACAGTCATTCTTTGCTAACTTTAAATTAGCTTTTATGGAAATCCTTAATTGGAAATGTGTATTTTCATTTTATATATGTATGAAATACCATAATGTATGTATGAAATGTGTATTTCATTTCATACATATATGCAATGAAATATATAATATATATGTATTTTAAATTTCTCCATAAACAAGAGAAACTCTGTGTTAGAGAATAGTTTTGTATTAAAATCATATTTATATTTCCTAACATGGTTGAGAAAGTGGCTGATGTTGGAAGAACAGGGAGTAAGAAGACTGAGTCAGTGGAAAATCAGGAGGGTCTAAACATTTGCATAAGGACCAGACTGAATGATTTGTCTATAATGCTTATATTATCTGCCACAAAATGTATGCCCAGGTTCTTTTGGTAAATCCCTAATAGTACCTAGCCACTGAGGAATGGTCAACGGAAATTGATTGTATAGAAATTATTAATTATTATTCTGTGTGCTAGTTAGTTCTCTTGGCCCCTGCCCACCACCATGCCTGATCCTCAATTTTTTTTCTTCAGGTATATTTCTGAATTCTGAAAACTCTACTGCTTTTTCAGGAACATTACCATCTTGTTTGGGGAGGGAAAACTACATAGCCAACTTGATTTATTTTTAGGCTTTACATATGAACATACTTGTCTAGTTTCTGATCGGGTCTGGGGATGACTAGATCTCTTGAGCAAAAGCAACCTATTCATTTTTATCCCTTTCTCTCAAACTACAATTGTATGGTTATCACCAGAAACTAATTTTTGTTAAAATTCATTATGCAAATATATAACAACACTATGAGTTTTAGAACATTTAAAAAAGCAAGTAGCACTAATCAATTTTTGAAAAACTTAAACTGCTACAAAGTTGTGATTGCTGTTACATGGTTTCCTTATTTTGAGGGTGGGCATAGGGGAGTGGAGTAACTATGCCTATCTTAGTAACATTTGTCTAAATGAAGGAGCTAAAGGAAACAAAAATCTTTTCATGAGCCATTTTCCCCTTTGTTCTAGGAGAGTGGGATTATATGGGGGAAGACCTGCATGGGATGACAAAAGTGAGGGAAGAAGTGGTATGAAAAGGTGGACAGTGTCTGTGAGCTGGTCATTTCACTGTAATTCTGCATCTATATGCAGAACCATTTGGTAGGTGCAACTTATTTGTCCTAGGAGAGATTAAATAAAAGAAATTAGAATATTTTTTGTTTCTGTAATTTAACTGATAGTATTTGCTTAAAAATTTTTTTTGAAGTATAACACACATACAGAAAATTTATTTAAGTGTATAGCCCAGGAATGTTCAAGAGGTAACCATGTCAAGAAACAACACAATCATACCCTTTTCCAATTCCTCCTTGTTTCTCTTATAACCACTCTTCTCATTTCTAACAGCATAGTTTAGTTTTCCTTCTTCAGTCTTTAAGGAAAATTTTGGTGTGTGTGATAAAATAAGTGATACAGTAAACTAGAGAAGGGTAGAGAGAATAGCAGGAATCAGCAGCTTTTCAGAAGGTGTCCAATTGTGGTTTGGGAGTGATTCTGAATAGAAAATCCTCTCAATTCTACTCACTAGAGACTCATTTAATTTTGATTTTTTTTTTTTTTTTGGAAGCAGATGCTTCCTGAATGTTTAGAGCTATAGTGTATTTGCTCATGCCCAGATGTTTTCTTTTGAACTGAGGGAATGGCAATTTTCATTTGGAGGAGTAAATCTTAGGTCACCCTGGGAGAAGGCATTTTCTTGGAGTTGTTTTTTCATGGTGCTGGGGATTGAACTCAGAACCTTGTGCATGCTAAGCAAGCGCTCTACCACTGAGTTGTATACCTTTTTGACAGTTGGAGGGTGGTAGGAAGACACCTTGAGCTACCTATCTGCAGTTGCGCTCAGGAAGAAAAGTGAGGCAATTTGAGCAATTTGTATTTTTATTTGAAAAGACATCTTGTTTTGCATAAAATTTGAATTTTTGAAGGTGTAATATAGCCTTTGGGAGTTGAGACAATTTACTTGATTAATTTGGTCTTTAGTTTTTGTGTTAATAAAATGTGAATAATTATTGTACCTATCTCATAATTTAAATGAGTTAATATTGAATGCATAAGAGACTTTACCACATAATAAGCCCTATAAAGGTTTTAGCATAAAACAATAAAAATAACCTCTCTAAAACTTAGAGGTTAAAAAAAAATAATTCAAGACTGCCTTTAAAACCTTACTTTCATTACTACCAGTTAATTTAAAAAATGAAGTAATATATGTGAATAATTTAAAAGTAAAAAGCACAGTTGTTCCCTGTCCCACCCCTCCCCATCCATAAGTCTTGTTCTCTACTTTTCACTTAATTATGTTATATACTGGGGATTGAACCCAGGAGTGATTTGCCACTGAGCTGTAACCCAGACCTTTTTATTTTTTTGAGACTGGGTCTTGCTAAGTTGGTGATTCTGGCCTTGAA